ATAATATTTGAAAAGTAGAAATTTGTTTCTTTCATTTTTTTGAAAATAAAATGGACAAAATTAAAGCACATGAAAGTTTAGAAAAAATTTGTGTATGATATCAACATAACATTGATTTTTTTACATATATTATCTAAAGCTTATATTCAAGGAATTCAAATGTGTAAAAACTTAACCAAATATTAACATTTATCTTTATACAAGCATAATGACAAACACATTCAAGCTTCTTTATAAACATTAGATTTCAAATATACTACACAACAATGGCATTTTGACTATTGATGTATTTTATCCTCAATATCATTTGATGAATAATCATCATTTGATAACTGCATTATTATTGCAAAATCAGTTTGCTTCTTCTAAGGATCTTAATCATGTCTAATATTATTGGTCATCTATTTGAATTGATACTACCTCATCAATAAGAAAAAGTATATAAATAGCTATTGAAGATTGCATTAATGATTGTAAAGACAAAAAATCTAATAGTTAGTCATCCAAAGAGCAAGCCACAGAGAGCAATGAATTATTTGACACAGTTTGGTGCATATGCAAAAGCATCCATTTTACGTTCTCATTCACAATTTGAAATTGTCTAAACAACAACAAATGTATGTCTTTGAAAATATTACAAAGACCTTCGACATAATGTACATACATATCCTATTCATTTTTTTTTTCTTACAATTATTTATAAGTGGATTGCAAATATAATTAAGTTTATGATGGTAATTTATAAAAGATAATTTTCATATAATTAGAGCTTAACATATTACTCTAACAATCTAATATGAAATTTTTTTAGTTTATAGTATTAATGAGTTAAATAATTTTGATATTACTCATAGATAATGGAAGTTAAGCAATAGGGGTAGAAAGAATGGTTGTAAAAAGGGTGAATAGAGATTGTATTTTAGTCTTTAATAATTACAACAGTTGTCACTATATCAAAAATACAATAGATATATCTTGATTATTAATGTTATTTATTTCAAAAGTAGCAAATATCAACTTTAAATCAGGCCTATGGCACTCTAATTTCTTCTAATTAAAATATTACTCCAAAAACATGTTCAAATAAAAAATATTAATATAACTGGACTGCAAGTAAGTACATAGAAATATTCACTAAAAATTAACAATCCAAAAAATTTAAATCAAATACATAAATATTTATAGAATTTTATTTCAAATTATGTGTAATATAACTTTAAAGAAGTAAAAAATAGATACTTTGTGACCAATTTCTTTGCATGCAAAATTATCTCTAATATAAAACAAAAACATTGATAAACCACAACAAAAGCTTAAATCAAAATATTGAGGCAAGTCACAATCTAGTTGCATAAAGGTCGAGTCAAGAATTAAATGAGTCTACAACCACCTCTTTAAAACATTTACTTTGGCAAGAAGTCTTATATTTCATCATCAAAAAATAAGAATCTAAAAAAGAAAACACTCAAATAATTAAAAAAGTAGAGAGGAATGTACCAAACAATACAAAGATAAATTCTGGAATTAGTACTAAACATGATTAATACCAAAATTTGTAGTAAAAGGTGAAAATACTCCAAAAACTATTATTTTCTTCAATTGTAATGGTGCTAAAATTTAACAATAATTTATTTGAAATATGTTTGTGCCTAAAATATTTTGAAGAAAAAAAAATTGTTTGACCTTCTTACAAAGTTACTAAAAACATAATAAAAGCTATAAGTAAAGGACAAGAACTTTAAAACTATGAAACTACAATCATCCACCTAGGCACACAGATCTTCTCATGTTGTTTGATAAATACTTCTACATGTTACACATCAATTTATTTTCATTTTTTACTTAGAATTCCTTTCTTTACAAATCAAATATATGTTAGAATGCCATTCATTTGCCTTTATTCCTACAAGCTCTCAATTCTCACCTATCTTACAACATCAATCACATGCATAATCTTCAATATGTACCTACACAACTTTCATTACAACTGCTTTGGAAATGTTCTTAAGTACAAGAAATTGACAATGAATGAGATATAATAGATATCAAGAGAGAGATGGGAGGTACAGTAAGAAGATTGTTTTTAAGTGTGTCTTTTGATTATACTTACATAAAAAATAGGATTTCTTTTGAGAAAGAGAATAGAAATAAGAAATAGCTATGATTGTAACCATAATGAATGATATGGTAATCATGATGAATGTGGTTGGTTTTCATTAGTTGTGGATCTAACAGTAGAAAAATGAATCTAGAGGTCTTTTTTTTTTTATTTTTATCATGATGGATGGATTGATTTAATGAATATGTGGATCTATTTAAAATTCTTTTATATATATATATATATATATATATATTACAAATTCTAAGGCTAAATTTGAAGTTCTTTATATTTTAATGTAGAATACAATAAATAAATATAATTTTAAATAATTGTGTTTTAAGCTATATATAAGTGTTTTTTAATATCAAATGGAAAAAGAAAAAGAAAAAAAATACAACATTGTATATATTTAATATATATGTATAAAAAAAATTATTTATATTTTTATTTACATTCAGCATATCCAAATAATATCTCGATTTTTTTTAACTGCCATTCATACAATTCTTTCGTCATCACTACAATATTCCAACTTTCAAAATGTTTAGTGCATGATTCTACTTATTACTAAGGTTTTTGTATGATAGCACTTCATTTATGACCAAAGCATGTTTTATGGCATTATAAGTACTAAAAATACAAGATGTTTTAGAAATCAGATGTGAGTTTGGTCACAATACACAAGATTTTAAAAGATTTTTTTAAAATTTTTTTTCTTATTTAATCTAGAAGCTATAAACTGACTGTGTATTTATTTTCAATATCATCATTTTAATATTTGTGTTTTATTAATATTTTTCTTTTTTTTTGATGTGCATACACATATTTATAGAAAAAAATAGGATTTTTTTTCATAATCAATGAATATTTCATCCTTCTAAAACTTTGCAATCATATTTTAAATCATTTAGTTTTCAATTATTGGCTTTTGAAAAGATTGCAAACAAAATGGTATTTTCATAAGTTGGAAGATGTTTATTAAATTCGGACTCAAACCGTTTTTTCTTATTTTTGTCAAAAAAAAACATCTAGTCATCATGAATGCTGTCAGTATATATGGATTACTGCTAGTTTGTCAATATTGTGCCAACTTAACCACAATATTGGTATTGCCAATGTCCTCATTCTCAATAGTGTTAGAAACCATTACTTTCTGCAAGATGATATTTTCATTGTGTTTTTTCTTGAACATAGTTTGGATCTTTGGTTAAAATTGGAATTTAATTAAAAACCATTATATTCGACTCCCTTGATGTATCAAAATGCAATTCTCTTTCTTAAAATATAACTTAAAAGTCCTTTTAAAGCAACTTCAATTTTTTAAACATTTTTCCTGCAATGAACGGAATATTCTTATTTCACGTCTACGGTTATTAGAATAGTTGTAAAGTCCCTGTTTATTGAATCATAGTTAATATCTATTATCCCTACTTTCTGAAGTAGATGAAGTCTTTTAATTTCATAAGTGGTGGCGTTGGTCTTTCCAACCACCTTCAAATAAGCTCCATTCTCATTTGATCAATATTAGCATGATTTTCTGGTCCAGTACACATTGGAATTTTTTCATTGCTGTTTATAGCTTTAGATTTGTCGGAATAATATATTTATTATCGCTAATTTCGTAATCATAAATTAAGACCCATTTTACTGACATATTATACCTGAATATTTCTTAAATTGTTCACAGAATCTATCCACTTACAAACTCAATCTCAGCTTACATGTTCTTAGGTTCAATCTACTGTTTGTAATCACCACAACATTTTCACCAATTTGATAATGAAGAAAGCAAAAAGAAAAAATAAAATAAAATAAAAACATTTTTAATAACTTTGTTTTAGAAAGACTACAATGACGTTGGTTGCCAAAAATTCTTCTAAACTCATTGACTACAAGTTTTCTAGTTTCACTCTAATTGGAATCCAAAACACATTTTTTGGTCATCCACAAGACACAACTGCTATAAGCAAACCACAAAGCTCTTACCACTCGGGAGAATCATCCACCCAAACCCAATGTATAATTAAACCCAAGATAATAGCAAATGGATCAATCTTCCCACCTCAATCATAAATCCATATTTCTCCCGACCACAAAAGTATTTTTCACCCTCATTATTCCAATAAATATTAAAAACTAAAGTAGGATTATAAAAAAGGAAAAGCAAAGGAAGGGCAAAGAGAAAGAAAGGCAAAAGGGAAAGGGAAGAAAAGTAAACCAAGAGAATAGTAAAACGAAGTAAAAAGACAAGAGTGTTGTAGGATTCTAGGAATCCAATATACACACAACGAGGAGGCTCTGACAAGCGGACCACTCGTGGAATTCGCGAGCAAGCGGCGCGACGCGACGCCACCCAAACCCTAATTTGGCCGCGGGCTGCCCGCGACGTTTCGCGACGACCCCCGCCTCGCGGTGGCGCTGCCCGGCGAGGACAGGGAGTCGCATCGACGGCCAGGGTTGTGAAGCGAAGCGGGGTGGGGGCGCCATGACTGATTGACTCCTGGGGATCCTTTCCCTGACGACGATTCGTGTGTGTGTGTCAGTTCTGTGGCTCAGACATGATCGGGCCCCATGGTGGCATACCGCACGAGCTGGCATACTTTGCTTGGTTTTGGCCCTCAATTTGTTGCTGTAAGGATGGTGGGTTCCAGTTTTCTCCTCGGATTTCTTTCCCACTTCACATCATCAGGGGAGAATTTATTTTAATCATCAGTGGGGGCTCCGGATTCGCGTAACCCTAGCACGTCGTTGGCATTGAATGCGCCCCTTGCATCATCCACACTTGTAGCCCAAGCGGAACGAGTCCATGCTACGGAATCGCGGTTGTCGGCTTTATTCGTGATATTTTTTTAAAATTTTAATGAGGTAATTTGTCTGGTCGAGTTGGAGGTGGGGCTTGGATGTGCCCTGTTTCGTGTTTCTTATTTTGGTAAACGGGGATGATTGCGGCTGTTGTGTAGTTTGATGTGGTGAAGGTTGGGGTGGTGGAGGTTCGAGGCTTTTGAAGCGGATGCAAGTGGGGGTGTTCTGGGGATGAATCCAACTGAGGCTTGGTGGGTTTGTCGTGACACTGGTCGTAACCTGGCTGATTGTAGTGACCGTCGGGTGGTATGTGGTTGTTTTTTGGGTTTCTGCGGCGTTAAGGGTTTGAGGTGAGGCTCGTTGGGGACTTGTGTGGATTTTGGATATGATTTATGTTGTTTCAGTGATGGATTGATTGATGGATCGTGTTTTAGCAGTGGATTTGTGACAATCTTGCCTCCTGTCTCGGCTGTGGTGCAAGTATAATCGAAGGTGGGGCGGGTTAGCAGCGGTGAACGTTGTAGTTGTTTTCACTTTTTGTTCTTGAAAGAGTCTATTACAATTGTGGTCTTCTTTCTCTCTTCGTGGGAATGAATTGGAGGAGCTGTATATGGTCACTTTTATGAGCGTCTTCTGTGGATTTTGGAATTGATTGCATCTAACCTGTTTTGTAGCGATGCCTACTGAATGTTGATTTTCATAGTCCTAAGTTACGCATTCCCACGGGTCGATGATTTGTGTTCTGGTGCTTTGAGTGCATACCATGCAACGTCGTTACTGAGAATTTTCCTTGCGGCTGTGTCGCGGCTTTGCGGTTCGTTATGTAATTTAATTGAAGTGGTTGTTTTCCTTCATTTTGCAGGTGATGCCTGAGAAGGGTTTTGGAGGACTAAAATAATTGTTTTGTTACACTGAGGGTTCACTCTGGCAGCCTTTATTATTCATCCGTCTCGCACCGGTGGGCAGGTGTGGGGCCTTGGCGGTTGCCCAGCCCTTGCTGGACATCAGAAAGCTAGGCACTCGCAGGTCTGGAGGGCTTGTCGCATGGTGCAGGGGTTGGCATTAGATTACGGCTAATATGGCTTATGGGGCGACCCTTTGATTGATATCAATGTAGACAGTTGGGTTGGGGTCAGGATTTGGCCTCCTATCCTTGTCTTTCGACTACAATGTAAACGATTTCAGTATTCTTTCTTAGTTTTGGTTTTCATCTATCCGTATCTCAAAGGAAAAGAGCAAGAAAAAAAATACAAACTGCGAAAAAAGAAAAAAGAAAAAAACAACGCACTTCCAGAACATTACGTGTATTGATTACATGTCAATTGTTCCAGCTGAGGTATTTTAGCATGTTGCGTGTATAATTTACCCCATAGATACAAGGTACCCTACAATTTGATGGAATTTATCGAGGGCGGTTTCTGTGGTAAAGACGTTTTGGGTTGGAAGGTGGTACGTGTGGAGGAAAGGGGTTTGAGGAAGGTGGTATTCGGTCTTGACCTGTATTGCGACCTTTGTGGCGTAAGGGATCATGGCAAAGATACATTGTTTGACTTCAATGTTTGTTCGGAAGACAAAGATGAAGGTATCTGTTTTTAGTTTGCTCTTCCGAAATGATTTCTATTGAACTTTGCCTATTCAGCGCACTTGTTTCGTTATTTATTCATATGGTATTTAGGTGTTTCTTTGGAAATGCAGTTTTACCCTCTAGGGATATTTCTGTTGATGAATGACATTGATTTTTGATTTTTGGGTATTCCGTCGGACAGAATTCCACTCCAGCAGAATCTGTACACAGTGAAAGCGTTTGGGAGTTATCTCAGAAGCAACTATTGTCGAAAGACGGTGATCATCTGTCCGAGAGTTCTCAGAAAGACCTTATGGCAAAGGACTATAGTCCCTGTATAATGGCAGATCCGACAATCGACAATGAAAAGCTTTTGACTGTGCCTGTTGGCAACACATCGAAGAAGCTTCTCTCCGTTTCTTCGATAGCAAAGAAAGATAACGTGTTGTGCTGGACAGAGCTAGATCTCCCTCCTTCTGTTGATGCATCGAAAGCAAGTCATGCCGAATTATTTGAATTTGACACAGGAGCTTTAGATAAGATAAAATACGAAAGGGCTGATAGCTATGACAAGCATGTAGCTAGTGTTGCAGAGGCTGAAAGCTTCCCCCTTCGTGG